TTGGGACATTGCTTCTGGAGGGTGTCGTTCTTGTTAGCAAATACCATTCCTCTTGTATAAGCAGAAGTTAGGTATTTCATATGACCTATCTCAGCATAAATGGATAAGGAGTATAAACCAACTTTATCAATTTTATCGTTTTTTCCTACTCGTGCTGCCCTGACAATCTACGGGAATTGAGTGGGTATCTAGGGGAGAAGTCCTCAATATGGAAATACAGCGATTGAATGGAATCTTGCTCCTGGGTATGGAGGGTTTTCAGTTGTTATTTATACAGCGATGCTCGTGGATACCCAGGAGTGGCTGGAGTAATAGGGACTTGTTTCAGAGAGGTGCAGTCACTTCAAAAAGTTACCAATACTTTTATTTATATCATATGCGATGGAGAACAACAGATTCACCTATCATGGATGACTATGTGAAACTAAAAATATTCCCAATAAAAAATCGGTCTCAATAATCATATACTTTCCCCCAATTCATCTAAAATTCCTGTCATCCAACTTGTTGAATGCTGCCAGTCACCAAAGTCCCCTACCAAGGTCAATGGTTTATTTTCCTTACCTGTATGTGCATACGAAACAGGTACTCTCCAAATGCTAATATGCGATGAAACGGACGCTAGAAACTTTCCAAACGCCAAAGGAATCACAATTTTCTTGTAATAACTCCAGCTGATCTCGGCCCTTCTCCGAACGCCCATCCATCTCAACACAGGGCTGCTGTAGAGCGATATCGACACTAACTGCACCATAGTCACAGTCATAGGGTAAGGGAATTCATTCAAGAGCGTTTTGCCGACGACATTATTACTGGAGCTCACCAGGTACCACAGGACACACAATAATAATACCCGCAGAATCTCATTTTCCTGTCTCTTGTGAGCCATGTTGGCACAAGCTGACAGGTGACGTCATCTTTCAGCTGATTCCTGTCGAGGAGGAAAGAGACATCTGGAAAATAGCATATTCATGTAAAAAATTACCTCTCTTAATTATTTTCATCATATAAGTTTATATCGAGAGAAGTTATCTTATTGATATTCGTAAATTATCCGCTGTTACTTATTAACCAAAATTTACATTGGAGTTACTTACCGACCTTCAAAAGGAATGATACAATATGTATTGTAATACTTCAGTCCATAAATAAAAAAAAAATCAGAATTTGCATCACATGATTAAATAAGATGACAGATGATTAATCAAATCAACATTTATATATATTTTAATTACGATATCATTATTCCACACAGTTATAACATTAGACTACATTCCAGAGAGAAAGGACGAGGAGAGCGTTAACTCTTTGTATCATAAGCGACCATTCTTTCCGTCACAAACATGGCGCTCAACTTCGTGGCCCAGGTGCACCCTGTGGTGTTTTTTAGCATTGTCGATTCCTACGAAAGACGAAATCCAGATGCCCATCGTGTAATCGGCACCCTACTAGGTACGGTATTGTTTGATAAGCGAAAAGATTATGTGTGAAGGGAAAGTACTTTGTTTCCGAGATTTCATACCGGTCGATGGACAGATGTTTACCCGAAGTTTGGGGCCCGATTTGTTTTCTTTCGCATAGTAGATATTCTTTCGTATTTTCACACATTATTTCGTGGGTGCATTGAAGATTGGGAAGTAGTTAGGAAAAAGTTAGCTCTGTTTAATCAGGATTTAATTTGATTAAAGCAGGCGTGATTATCCTGTCTTGAGAAAAAAGGGAAATTGTTTCCACATGGGAAGAAATTGTCACTACTGTCATGCACTTAGGGGTGAATTTTCGTTAGTTGATGCCCCTTATATATAAAGAGACTTAATTTTTTCTTTCTTTTGTGTCTTGAAGAGGTTGGATTGTACTTGATCTGCATCATACAAACCACTATTTACCATCAGTTACTGTTTCTATGGGCACACAAAGGGAGGGGTAATTGAAGATGATGTAGAGGATTAAAAGTTGCAGTTGTTGGTACAATAAATCATCTGCAGGCTCAATCATTAGCACCATAAATAAAGGAATAAGATTGAAGGAAATTTGACATTTCCAGATATAAAGGTATTTGGTTTGTTATTTCACGATGTGAATGCAGCTCTACCTTGCCGTACATACTGGGGTGGGTTAATTTTTTGATTTTTGGGATACTTGAGGGCCTCAGAAGTCAAACTGTGATAGTTATTAAGGTCTTTTTCTTCCGTTTCCACTGTTTAGTCTTAAGAACAACCTAGAATCGACGTAACACCTAAAATGAAACATTTCCTACCAGTCTCCTGTCACTGACTGCCCAGGAAACGTCCAGTCAAACCTGGTGGCAGAAATGCGAAAATGCACTTGCGCAGAAGTTTCTTCAGACTGATTTCCTTAAATCACTTTCTAATAAATCTTGAAACATGAAAATGAGGTATAACGTTAACAAAGGCCTTTGACAGCATATATGTGGAACAGTAGACACTGATAATTAGCCAAATATGCCGTAGTAATACATGAATTGCTTAATAGAGGGCAAGAATGAGTTGACTGGTCATAATTTTGTTTGCATTCACGATGTCAACATGGTGAGGGACTTTGAAAAAGATGGGTCAGTCTTCTCTCTTCTCTATCGTGTAACTCCTTTATTTTCGATTTGCGCACCTTATGCCATTGATGAAAAGTGTCTTATTTAACGTCAAGGTAACCATTCCATATCTCTTTTTTACTCAATTGTTATACACTGTAAATTTTCCCCAGGGTGAAGAGAATGTGTGCTGGGGGGTGTTGGCCATCAACCCTTCCCTCGGGCAGTGCCCAAAGGGCACCCCTAGTCACGGCAACTAAAATTGATATCTTAGGCTGGTTAATTGATCAGTACGTTTTGGGGGGATTTTGAAAGTGAATTCACATAGTTTTACTGAAAGGTGGGTTGGGTTCCTATAGATTTTTTGAATTCTGGCACGTCAGCCTGTAGGATTTCAAAGATGGTGGTTTAATCCGTAGAATTGACCAATTTTAACCATTTTTTTGTGCTAGTCTTACGCATTTTTTGTCGTTATTCTTATTTAATCCTGTTTTACTCCATAATTTCCTTGATATACTTCATGTCTTCCCCTGCTAATAGGACTAACAAATTAAGATTGTTGATGGAGAAACGGTACAAGATCTCCCGAACGATTCATTCGCACAAGAAACAACACTAAGCATTGATGAAATCATGGGATTTCTGCAGTTTTTTTTTTTTTTTTTTTTTTTTTTTTTTTTTTTTTTTTTTTTTTTTTCTACTTAGTCTCGGGGAGGGTGCATCACTCTCTGTAACCAATGCCCTAATGTTTTTTCTCAACATGTAAACAAGATGATCAAAGCTAAAATTGGGCTCTCACCTCTGTTCATTTATGTATAGCTCCTTTGGGAAGCATTTGCACAAATATTGCCATAGAAGAAGAATGTCTTGGTTTGTATCGTTCTATCATTCCATATAGGTTTTATAACCTAACATTGCCACTACCTCAAACTGTATATCGTCCCAAACACAAGTGTTCACATGCACCCGGCTTTTAGGTTGGACGCATGTACTTCCTCACGTGAACCTAATGCCTGTATTTGGTCCCTGTAGATACTGTGAAGCAATTGGATCCAATGGGTTAAGTATGCTAGGAGTTGTGTCAGGAAATTTGGAACAAGGTCCAATCAGAGTTGCGAGTATTCGGCAGTGAGTCACAGGATGACCAGTGGGGACATGGTTGTTTTACCTGCCATGACCCAACCTAGAAAGACCGTGAGTTTTGCAGATTGTAGGCTGTGGCTGTTATAGGGGTAATTCTATGCCAAAGCTGCATGACACATGTGCAAAGGAATTTTGAATGATTTGAATTAGGAGGGCCACATATTTCTCTCTCTCCCTCCCTCCCTCTTCCCTCCCTCTCCTCTCCCTTCCCTCTCCTCTCCCTTCCCTCTCTCCCTCTCCCTCTCTCCCTCTCCTCTCTCTCTCTCCCTCTCTCCCTCTCCCTCTCTCTCTCTCTCTCCCCTCTCTCTCTCTCCCTCTCCTCCCTCCCCCCCCCCTCCTCTCTCTCTCTCCTCTCTCTCTCTCTCTCTCTCTCTCTCTCTCTCTCTCTCTCTCTCTCTCTCTCTCTCTCTCCTCCATCCCTCCATCCATCCATCCATCCATCCCTCCCTCCCTCCCTCCCTCCCTCCCTCCCTCCCTCCCTCCCTCCCTCCCTCCCCCCCCCTTTCCCCTCCCTCTCTCTCTCTCCCCTCTCCCTCTACCTTCCCCTTTCTTCCTCTCCCTCTCCCTTCCCCTCTGTACCATCTCTCCTTCCTTTTCTCCCCACTCACCTGTTATTTATTTATTATCTCTTTTCATCCCCCTGTTACCTCTTTCAATCTTCATAGTTCTTGGGTGATTTGAGGTTGAAGGGAGAGAGAACAGAAGGGGGGGGGGTAGCATAACTAAAGATAAAAATTGGATTTTTTTTATCATTCTTTGAAAGTCTTAATTGTAAATGCCAGCTGCACAAAAATAACATCATGGAAGATATTTATATTATTATTGGAAAATAAATCCAATATCAGTAATAAAGACAAAGTAAATAGGATTAAAAGGTTTTTATATTTGTTGATTTTGACATCTAGAATTCATACATATCAGCCAATAGTTCATTAGAATTATACAGTTATCTAAAAATAGTAAATATTATTTGCTGCAGCTATTGAAATTTATTGTAGATGCAACTGTCAATGTAGAATAGTGAACTTGGTCAGGACTCAGACATGGCAACCTTAATCCCAAGTAAGGAATGACATCAGTTATTAGTTATTGGAATAGGTTAATCTTTATGGCTTTGATGCACTAAGTAGGGCAAAGTGAATGTGAATTTTTATCGAGGACAAAAAGTTGCAGTCATGGGTACAGAATCAAGAATTTTTTATTTAAAATCATTTGATACACAAGTAATGTGATAATGTCTTTAAAAATTAGTGTTTCAGAATAAATCAATTAGTATGAATCATGGAACACATTGAATAGTTCTTTGTATATCATGTTTTCATGTATATGATACAACATACTAGAATATGGTTGTGGATTAACATGGTAATATTATAGTGAGTGTACATGTGTCATTTTCATTTGGAATCTCTTCTCATATCTGCTTAGTAAGCTAAAGAATTCTTGGAAACATAAGGTTACCATGCACAGTGAATAGTACAGTGTTAATGGTCTAAGTAACATACATAAAATAATGTTAGTTAAAAAATATTTATGGATATAGTCCTTTTCCAGTCTGTAAGTGGTTATTTGATTAAGTGTTCATAGATCTTATTGAATTGTCTTCCCTCAGAGTTTACCTTTTCTTTTCAGGAACCGTTGGCGTAGATAAGGGTGCCGTAGAGATTACAAATTGCTTCTGCGTTCCTCACAATGAATCCAAAGAAGAGGCAAGTTAGACTTTTCTTGCATAATTTCTGTGTTCTTTTTTCTGGTAATAATTTCAATTGATTATAAAAAGCTTTAGATTGCAGTCATTTCAAGTAATGCCTTTAATTTTGTAGTCCTTAATTGTTAGATTAAGGTGTAAATCAGTTTGAATGTCCATGTTATTGATCACTTCATATTTTAGGTCGCAGTGGAACTGGACTTTGCTAAAGACATGTACGAGTTACATCGCAAGGTGAACCCCAGCGAGGTCATAGTTGGATGGTGGGCAACTGGTCATGAAATCACAGACCACTCACTCCTTATCCATGATTATTATTCACGAGTGACAAGCAACCCAATTCACCTCACTGTTGATACAACTTTACATGGAGGTCGCATGAACATTAAGGTAAAGGCTGCCGTGTTTGAAATACCATGCAAGGTGTATATGATTTTTCTTATACTTATTTATGTTTATATTCAAGGTTCAGTGGTTGATTCTTTCTCCATTCTATGTGAAGCTCTATTTCCTGCCATTTGCATTGCTCTTCTTTTCCTTACAATCTCTTGCATATATTTTTTGTATTTTTTATATATGTCATTTCTTGCTCATTTAGTTTATCATAGAATATTTAATTTGGTTTAAAAAAAACTTTTCTTCCTCTAGGCCTATGTAAGTGCTAGCATGGGTGTTCCAGGACGTACTCCAGGCACAATGTTTGCCCCAATTCCTGTGTCAACTGTCTCCTATTCTCCAGAGATTGTTGGAAGTAAGTCACAGTTTTTCATTGGAAGAGATATGTGCTGTAAACCATTTATTTTGACAGTTATGTTTTTGAGATTGAATTATTTCATGACAGAATTATCAATTATTTCTTTGACTTGTATAGTTACTTGAGAAGTGCAACATGTCACTTTTTTTAATGTTTGGTTTGTAATATTGGTATTGTTAGACATGTCTTCAACAAGATAAATTTTGCAGTTGGCTGTGTAAAAAGTTAATGTAAGATCAATAATATGAATTTAAGATCAATATTAGTGACTTTTTCATGATCTTAACATGTGCAACCAATTGTTACTTGTATTTTCATTAACTGCCATGAAATGTTTTATGTTGCATAAACTTTGGCTTTAATATAACTACTGTCTTACCTTGCAGCTAATGTTGCTCAGAAGAGCAAGTACAGCAGACCTAGAATAGTAGACCCAACCTCAGATCTTCATCAGATATCAGAAGCTACAACGAACATGGAATCTGCTTTGGATATTCTTATTGGTAAGTGGTTTTGAAAAATTTACTTTTCTCACACATCGGCTTGTCATTTGATGGTTTGGTGTAATTATTGCTCAATTTTCTTAATATCTATAGTCATTTGGAGCTACAATTTCTTTATTTCAAACTGGACATGCCAATTTTAATATTCTTTTTTATTTTCTTTAAACAGCTTACGTAGATGATGTCCTAAGTGGGAAAGTTCAGGCAGACAATTATATTGGTCGTGAGCTGACAAAGATTGTGAACAGGGTTCCTAAGATGTCTGCACATGATTTTGAGGAGATGCTGAACACAAACATGAAGGTATGCAAAATTGTAAACCTCAAATAATCTTATTTTATTTGCTTTATATACTTGTCTTGTAACAAGTTTTCTTTATGTAATGTTTTGCATAAGGATAGGACTACAGAAATTGTATAGATACCTGTTCCTTCATATTCTGCTGCTGTATTTAAAAATCTTATCCTTGAGTTAGTACATCATGGTTGATGATGGTAATGTGAATTGTTTGCATTTATTGTCAGTTTAATCATTGATTGTTGTAGGTTGCACAGGAACATGAATCATTTATTCATTTTTAATTTTGTAATTTATAAGAATAAACACATTGTTCAATTGGCTGTTATCAGTGCAGTGATGACACGTAACTTTAATTTGTATTGATTTCTTTCCAGGATCTGTTGATGGTGATGTATCTCTCTCAGCTTACCAAGGTGAATGTGAGCCTGAATGAGAAACTTACAATGCTGGTTGCAACCCAGTAACCTTGAGTGAGAATTAACTACTGAAAATGCTTTGCAATTGTTGGCTGGCAAGATGGTATCTGATGTGACACTGTCAGCAA